CGTATTCCAATTTTTTTTTTGCGAGAAAAAATTAAGCACCCTCAATATTGCAGGAGCACCGTAATAACGGATGACAGCATCGATCCTTTGCGTCAAATTGATGAGACAGACTGAACACTATTCTTTAGTATACAGATGTATCGATAGTGCATCGATGAAAAATAATGTCGCAATTGCAACTACTTATAATAATTTTATCTGTACGTTTATTATTTTGTACACACATTTGTTAAAAATATAGGACATAAAATTAGAGGAAAAATAATAAAACATCGAGTAATTCCCTCTCAAGCTCTTCTTTAATATCAAAACATTTGTCTGTGATCAAAAAAAAAAGAGATTCGATGCTTTCTCAAGATTAAAATAGTATTTTTCCTTATAGCATTTAATTCAATTTTTGCACCGCAGACATAGATTCGAAAATCGTATATTTATAATTATATTACAATCGTTGTAACGCACTCGCGTCGTATCCTTTTGAAAGAGACAGGAAGATAGTGCACGTGTAAGTGGAAATGCACCCGGTCTTTGAGAAGCCGCGAGAGATACGAGGCACAAACTTCGTTAACGAATCCCTCAAATGTCTCGGATGATACATCGGCGTAATTGGCTTGTCGACACGAGGCACTGGATTCGCCTTCAAGATTTCGCGAATAGACTACGGTGTTGCGGTTGCGGATATATCGACGGCTCACATACAAGTCGACACATTATACAATTTAAACAGAGTCGTACCGTATTTTATCAAATATATATCATTATCCTTTTCCCTTTTCGAAATCATATATATTAAATATATAATAAAGTAACACTTATACATATATTTTAATTAAATATAATTAAAATATATAATTTCAATTAAATTTCATTGAAATATATATAATATTATGTGCGTACTATTTTCTCATAATTATATTATCATCATGATACGTCGAAAAAAAATTACCCCACGAATCTATATATATATATATATACGAAACGCTCCGTTACTATTTTCGCGCTGTTATCAGCACGATCGACTTTCTATAAACCAATAGCGATTGCTATACAACTTGACGGAACGCTTCCTTCCTTCCTTCCTTCCTTCCTGGGTCTCGACATTGCTAAATCCCCGTAGCAATACGGGCGAATTCAGATCGAAAAGGACGGACTCACAAGCGCATTCGATGCATTCCGTCGCCGAAATCGCGCCCATTGCCCGCTATTGTCGCGTACGTTTTCCGAAGGGTGACCGCCATTGTATCTCCACGACAATGGACTGATGAGCTGGTATTGTCGTATTCGTCCAACTCTGTTTGTACCGTATTCGAAAGAGTGACGCGGCGGGAGAAAAAAGAGAATGAATAAGGTCGCACAGAGCCACGTTTGGATTTTTAATGACGGGTTGGCTCCAGCAAAGTCTCGAGTTGCTTCAACGCTATGCGGGATATTCAGCGTCGCGTCGGATCCGTAATCCCAGTCCAGGATTAACCGAGACCGGAGCGGACGAGGTATTTTACCGACGACGCGACGTCGAGATTCTTGGTTCCGCGATCTCCGAGTCTCAGCGTGAACAAGACGCTGCGAGGTACCGCGAGATATTGCATCCTTCGCAATTTTCTTCGGCGGGAGTGGAAAAAAAAGGGGAAGAGACTCGCGAGTCTGCCAATAAAATGGCAAATAAAGCGAGGAGCGTATATACCCTCTCGCGCGAGAAAGCAATTATACGGAAGAAGCGCTCGACGACTTTTACCATGGGACTGTCGTTGTAGCGGCTCTTCGTGACAACATCTGCAGAAGAACAAGAACCTGTAATTACTGCAACTTCCAGCGCTTTTTCCAGAGAGAGAAAGGTCGGAACGACCAAGTGCTTTCGCGTCTCCCTTCTGCTTGAAAAATCATTTCACACATATATGTATACAGTGCCCTCCATAAGTTTGGAAACACCTTACACTTTACAGTTAAACAATCATATGGCAGCGATCTGTGTAGATTTTTCGTATCAATAAATAAAATAAAATCGTAAAATATTTCAATAACATTTTTATTTATGACAGATCGCTGCCACGTGATTGTTTAACTGTCAAATGTAAGGTGTTTCCAAACTTAATGTATGCAATAAATAACAAATGTTCATTTATAAGACTGTTTTTCGTTATCACGATTAATAATATACTGCTGAAAAACATTCTATTAAGTTCTTGCATGTTACGAATGTCTAATTAAAGAATATTTCTTTAGAGAATTTCTCTCTTAAATTAAGAGGATCCTTTCGACAGATCTGTGCAGATTTTTGTATGAATAAAATATTTAAATGACATTTTTATTTATAACAGATCGCTGCCATGCAATTCTTTAACTGTAAAATGTCAAGTGTTTCCAAACTTATGGAGGGTATATGCATGTGAAGAGAGAGAACGCTTTGTGTGCGCGTTTGTAGATTTTTCATTCCTCCCCGTCCATACATTTCGAGAGTACGGTCGATGCTATATCAAGTGGCAAACTTTTGTTCAAAAACGACGCGGGCATCGCTAGAAATTCATTTTCGAACGCCTTATTTCCTTCGAGACGGATCGAAGGGTCGACGCGGAACGAAATGTGCCTTCCTTCTTTTCTCCTTCCCATCTCGAGAATGAATTTTACATATTCCGAGATTTTCCACGCGATTACCCGAAGAATTCCTTCCTCCTACGCGTAATTACCCGCCGTTGTCTGTCGCGTTGATGCACAATTTTACAACGGAAAAATCATAAAACCGCGCAAGAGCGCTAATTTATCACATCGCTTCAAAAATGACACAAAGGTTAACAAAACAATGAGAAAATAAAAACGTTGAGAAAAACAAATGATAAAACTGCGTTATGCAAGATTTAACGCGCGCTGTGATAACGTCACTTGCATAATATGCTCCACTTTTTAGATTAAATATTATACGTACGCGTGCATTCGAGAGAGCATGCGAGGAAATCATATTTTTTTGTCCTTTTTTTTTCTTTTTCGAAATGAAAAGGTACGGATATTTGCAATGAATTTGTTCGTTAAAAAATTCCGTTTTTCACCAGTTTGTCTTGTCAGCAATTATTTTACGGATTACGCTGAAAGGTTGAAACGTTCGCAAGTCGCTCACGAATCCCGCAAGGATCCTGTAAACATTAGCGCAGTCACAAAGTGTAATACGCGAAAGCACACTGGGAATGGAAAATTGCCGGGGATTCATAATGGAGAATTGTTCGCCGGAGCTTTGATCAAACGATTCTGTCAGTTGTCTCGTCGAGAGCAGACCATCATGGGTGCAGGTTAATGGACGCCCTGTACAAAGGTTTGTTCGAAAACCGCGACATGTGGGATTCACAGTACCAGTACGAGTATCGTAAATACATGAGAGAGAGAGAGAGAGAAAAGGGGATTTTTCCGAGTGCATACGCGTTTTCCGTCAGGTAAATAAATAAGCACGATTTTGCAGACGTGTACCGGGACGTGTTCGTAATTTAAAATTTATTACGTCACAAAGGACTTGGCGATATCGAATAACGATTTACACACTTTTGCAGAAGAGTCATAATTCACACGGAAATTTAACGGAGACAGGCGGAATAATCGATTTGCTTTCAGCGAAGCGTAACGCGAAAATAACTTTATTTTTCGTTTTTTACGAATTGTAGCGTGTGTAATAAAATTAAATAAATATTCGTTATGTTTAACGTTATTCGGTTCATTTTATCACGAAAAGATTATCGTATATACTGTTTGTTCACTTGAACGTTTTTAAGCCATCTTATTTGACGTAGCGTAAAAATATCGCGATTTATGCGTTTTTAATTAATCGGATTGATCAGCCTCTCGTTTTGCGCGAGATAAAATCGCTCGTTTTCGATGACGTGAGAAAAAACGATTGTACATAGCGCAGGGCAACCCTCACAAAGAATTCCTTTCGTTACCGGCGATTGGTGTCACGCACGGCTGAGCAGACAAGTACCTTTACTACTTACGAGTGTTCTTCACTCCGAGTAAGTATCGTAAAAGATATCCTTAAATGTTTCTTTTATCTCGCTAACCCTCCAAATATTCGAGAGTGATTCGGAAGGTAATTACGCGTTTTATTATAATATAATATAATAAAAAAAAAAAAAAAAATTGACCGGTTATTTTATTTCCCCGACACATGATAAAATAATTATTTATTCGATTGATCTCTTTAAATTAAACAATTAAAAATTAACAGCTGTCCGACACGATTGAGCGAGTCATGAAAAAAATAAATAATAAAATAAAATAACAATAATTTGATTATTATAAATAATGACATTTCTGCGCGTGATAAAGAAAAAGAGAAAAAAGAATAATATGGTCGCGCAGATTTGAGCGGTGCGCAAATTGCGAGAATAAACTCCCGAAAGATCGAAATGCTTTATAACACCATAAACAAAGCCTCCTTCGCGATTCTCCGGCGCGTCAGACGAGCTTTTTACACTCCCTCGGCATCGTAAATCCTCGCTCGCGCATTAACGGGCAACGTGAAAGCACGTTGAGAAGAGAGCTTTTGCACGAGCGGATACCTCGTATTCGCCCCCAACGTTTCCGGCTGTTTATATCGTCTTACGCTTTTCTCCCATGCCCGATAATTTTATACAATAATTCCCTCTTACGCTTCCTCGCGCTTTCCACCACATCTGCAACGGTCCGTTTATTCGCAGCTGCGCATTATTACATCGGATCCTTTATATACAGCAATATATTTGAAACAGTAAACGTCGTGTTATAAAGCAACGTTGAAGGTGTCGAAAGCCTATCTAATACGCTTGCGGTACCTTATTAAATTATTAGCAATTCTCTTTCGCCGTTTACAAGCTATAATTTATCGTTGAGATTAGACTCGAGTATCGCATTTAACAATTAACGATCGGCTCGGAAGCTTTTAATAAGATTGAACTCTTAAAACCGACAGTGACAAATTGTCGAAAAAATGTTTTCGAATCGCAACTTGCCAGCGTAAAATATTTCGACGATCAATTAAAGCTTACCTTCAAGGGCGGCCTCGTCGGATCCTTCCTTAGCTCCGCGAAACGCGCCTCGAAGCTGTCGTCCCAATATTCCCGGCTTCGCATCCACGAGGGCTGCAACAGAAGGGGTAAACAACCGTGAGAAATTTCGCGTTACACAACCGGATATTGCCGCGCGGCTAATAAAAGCAAAGCCACGAGGACGTGAATTTCGCTCTCGCCCTCGTACATAACAAAGGTAGAATAAGATAAAATAACGTGTAGCGTTGCACATATATAATGTATGTACAACATATATACATATATATTATATATATATATATATATATATACATATGTATACGCCGCTCTGCGCCTTCGTTCGGCCAAGTTGGAAGTTGATGGATGTTCGTAATTTCGTGAGAAGAGATTAATTGGTCTTTCGTTTTTAATTTAACTAGATTTTCGCGCGCGTTTATAAATACACGTTGCGCAAAATATATATCCATCTTGAGGGAAAAACTTAATAATAAGTTCGCGCAAAAATCGCGTGTTTAATTTCCTGAGGAATTTCCTGTCCAATTATCGTATATTTGTCTCGTTTCGCAGATTTTTTATTTGACGTTATACGTCAATCTTATCGTATCGCGAACGTTTCCCGTGTGTCGAATTAAATAACGATTAAATATAGGGCTCCGTTCGTCTCTCTTTCATCCGCGCAACCTCGCGTGCGTTGTTCCTTTTTATCGCCTCGTGTTAATAACGGCTTTATCGCGGTAATAGTTTTGACGCGATCCCATGTCGATAAGGTAAACGCACACGTAGCGAAATCACGAGATGACGTCGATGTTGACTTTACACGAAAGCTCTCGCTTTCGCCATCGAGATTCCGCGCGCAACGAAAATGCAAGCAAAACATTTCCGGGCGAAAACAAGCAAGGGGAAATATTCCCGTTATTTTACAAAAGATTTTTTACAAATTACACTCTGAAACTTCCAAATGCATCGCGCAAATATTTCGACAGGTGTACTTATCTTAATTGGATTTTACTTTAAACGTGAAAAAAGGAAAAATATAATTTATTGCTCCGAAGTATCGAGAGAGAGAGAGAGAGATATTTAACGAGATAAGAGAGCTCTGAACTTTCCCCAAATAAAACTCAGCCTAGCTTAAGACTTTGTCGTACAAGTTGCCGGAGAAATTCGAACGTAATAGTTTTTGGGATACCTTGTTTAAGGGCAACAATATATACCCGAATGGCGCGTCTGCGACGCGAACTCGAGGATGGGAAGTAATGAAGTAGAGCGAAATTGGAATTCGCGAGGAATCCGATTCCGCCGATTCTAAACATCGATTACGCGAGTCCGAACGCGCCGCGCATTCGGCACAGACACCACGAAATGCGAAGACTTCCGGTATCGGCGCGCCGCGCGACCGCAGAAAATCCTGGGCGAGAGAGAGAGAGAGAGATATATATATATATTTCAATCGACCCATCAAATCTCGAATGGAAGCTGCGGGCTTCCAGCTTCGTGCCCGCCAATCAACATATAATGCTCTAACAGCCGAAATCTTCGAACTGGCCGCAAATTCTCCTATTCCACGTCAAATAATTAATCACGCATACCTTTCTCTCTCGATAGCGATTATGTAATATCGCGAGACGCGAGATTCATAAATCAAGATTATTTGAATTCGAATAAGTCGTATAGATTATAATTGCCGAGCAATAAATACAACTCAAATCTCAGGACATGCGAATTATGCATAAATGAATTACTATGGAATATACATATCATTTTTCGCCAAGTATGAGTAGTAAAGAATTTTAAGAAAGATATGACATATACAATATATGATATGATTTTTAAAATTTTTCTCTTTCAAAACAAATCGATTGAAATTAAAAAGACAAATTTGAATTTAAAATTACTAGGAATATTAAGAGTGCAATAATATTTGGGTATCATTAAATGGGAATCGCTTTATAATTTTTTTAATTACTACGAAATTAGCGCGCGCCAATTTTTTTCTGAAACAATATTTTATCTCTCGCAGAGAGAAAAAAGGGCAACAATGACACGATTACTGCATATTAAAGGAAATTAAAAGCGAACGAGCGCAGCCGGGGAAACGTTTTAATTTCTATCAACAGCAAGCCGAGCGAATTAATCACCATAAATCCAGGATCGACGGCGGAGATAAAGCCGAGTCAAAATTAAATCCCAAGCGAAGAGCTCGTCCATCGAGCCCAACGGACTACCCATCGAGATATATCCTCCTTCTAAAGGTCTTCTTCCACGGAGCTCTCCGATTATCCGACGATCGGTCGAGCTTTCTTGTAACGGAGCTTATCCCGTCGACGTTAATTAAACATCGAAAAGCTTCGCTCCCTAATCCAACCGGGGTACTTTCTTTCACCTAGGATTATTTAGGGGGAAAGAAATCTATCCGTCTGCTCTCTTCCATTCTTCGATTGGATCGAAACGCTAGTCCAAATTTCTATAAACATTTGGATAACAAATTTCATTTTTTCATTAACTCGACATTTTTCATAAAGAATATAAATATATTATTTCTCATACAAATGACTCGAGCCAAAATTTTATGGGATGAATTTTTTCGTTTTTGAACGCCAGTTTGGACGAAATCGTTCTTTTAGTCACACTTGTGTGTATTAACAACTATCCTTCGGTACACGATGGTGGCGAATGAAGATGAAGCGTTTTACGGAGTATCCCGTAAGAGGAGGATATTTCCTCGGAGGATAGAGAACGATCTTGGAAAGATGTCCGGAAAGAGAGAGAAGGAAGGATGAAAACGAACGGACGGGTCTTAGTGGGATATCGAAGTAACGCTATCTTATCGACACAAATCCCACAGGAGACTCTTCTCGGGCAACTGCGTACGGTTTTACAAGAGCCACTTTAAGCTCGTTATTCGTCTAGGATGCCGATTGCTTTTTCATTACCGCGCCAACTTATTTGAATTTCGATAAAAGTGTCTCTCGAATTTCATCCGAGCGATATCGAGTGAAGACGACACTTTAAAGTCGTTAATATTGACACGTTGTCTCTCGTCATTTTTTTCCAAGATTAATTTTGATACTACGAAGAGTCCAACTAATTATCATGTTTTTTTATTTATCACTAAATATATATTTTTTTTAATAAAATTAATCGATCGCAGAGTAGAGAGTTAAACGCTTCACTCAAAAAAATATTTCGCTGATAGAAAAATTTTTGCTGTACTTGCAATATCATTTTTTTGAGTGTTTATATTCCGTTGACTGTTCTCGAAAAAATTGGCAAACCTTTCCGAAGAGCTCCGTGAATAGTTCGATAGCCTAAAACTCGAGCTTCATTAGTTTCCGGCCACGCTAGAACATGCTAATGTGTGCGTGGACGTGTAAAGCGGGCCGTCGAAGTTAACGGTTGCACGGACGATGTACGATTCGCGAGTTTCACGCGAAATCTACCATAGCGCTTCGCAGGCCACGAATAGGAAGGCCCGGAATAAGTTTACGAGATTGACGTTCACAGATACTCGGCGATCGATTCGCGCCGCGCTTCGCCGACAATCTATACTCGAAGCGACGAGCGGAGATTCGGCCAGCAACGATGAATTATAACAAGCGTATAAAGCTTTCGATCGAGCTTTCGAAACTCGAGCTCCGCGACTGGTCAAAGTGTTTTGTAATCGTCAAAAAATAAAATATGAAGGTTTATTATGTGAGAGTTTCGCAATAATTTCGCGCAGAGAAATTTATAATTTCATATTTCATCATTTCGTTAATTAAAAAACATCAGCAAAAATCGCGGAGTGAAAAGAGACATGTATGCTATTGTGTTACAATTTTATTATATCATTTATATATTATTATGCATAATATAATAATTATATATTATTATATTTATTACATAAATTTATATTGTAAATTTAATAATAATAATAATAATAATAATAATAATAATACATGTTTTCTCTCTCTCTCTGCAAAAATGTTTAAATAATTAAAGATATTACAATAATAATGGAAAGAATTTGTCATGTACACACATGTTAGATGACGTGAAGCAAAGACTAAATTGAGGTTTTTAAAAGTCTCAACACCCTGTCTAGACGTGGCAACAAGCTTCTATTTTTTCATTGCACCCTTTTCGCGACAACTTGGATGGATCTATTGAGGAAACGGCGCTTTGACGCGCATGTAAGAATTTCTTCACACAATTTGCGAAAGTACCTCGTCGTCATTCTCCATCGAAATGCTATTTTCGCACGTAGCAGCCAGCCGGACCTCTCGCACTTTTGCGAGTAGATTACCGCAAGTGCGGACCTAAAGGACGCGGTACAAAAAAAAAAAAAAATAAAAGAAAATAAAAAAAGCATTTCCATCCTTGAAAAACCGGCACTAACTGTAGCCTTGCGGCTGCGGCCTGTGTTCCTCCATTAAGCTCGCCTTCCTTTTGCATTTCGACCGCAGCGTATCATCGTCACGCTTGCCAAACGTAATGTCGGTAATTCTATTTTGCGGCTCGCAGAGATTCTTTTGGGCGGCAAGATGCACGCGCAAAATTACATTACTGTATATAAAGATATTCTTGTAATGCGGGTAAGAAAGTAGCAGATCTCAAATTTTGGTTCTCTGTGCGCATTGGCTTCTTTATTCTTAGAAAATATTTCTAAATTAGAAATAATTTAGAAGGTATAAAATAAGTTCATCGCGCAAATATTTCGGAGGATATATTTCAGGCATATTCGTGGTTTTATATAACACACGAATTTTCTACGTCGTTATATAATCAAGAAGAGATATCGCGAAAACATTTATAATTGATTCCCGAACGTTCAATTTTTCCTTCTCGCGAAATTTTACGTAGAATCGAGTTAATTGCTAGAACAGTTTTGTGGATTACGAATCGGAATAAATATGACGTAAATAAATCAGAAAACTTGGTGCTTTAATTCCAGCCAGATATTCATCACGGAGTGAATTCCAGGTCGAGACTTTGTAAAATTTCCCGGCTGGGAGCCGCCCGAACACGCGCGCCACTTTTTCCCATCGATATATTTTGCATTAAGCTTCACTGACCCGCCCGTATAAAGCCAGCGATTTAATCTCGTTTTGCCAAAA